AACTCTGCTCCCAGGTTTAAGCATTCTCCACCTCAGCGCCTCCCAAGGAGCTGGGACTACAGGCTGTGCCACCATGTCTGGCTAATTTTTGTATTTTTAGTAGAGACAGGGTTTCTCCATGTTGGCCAGGCTGGTCTCAAACTCCTGACCTCAAGTGATCCGCCTGTCTCAGCCTCCCAAAGGATTGGGATTACAGGCATGAGCCACCGCGCCTGGCCTGAGACCCACAGCTTCTGTAGAGCTCTTTATAGTTTGCACAAAGTACCTCCTCAGCTGTTGACACTCTTAATCTTCATAAACCCTGGAGAGATCAGTGGGGCTGAGACAATTAATCCCCATTCTAAAGACAAAGGTTCAGAGAGGTCAAGGAATGTGTCCAAGTTCACACAGCTAGGAGTGCTAGATCTGGGACTTGAACTTGGATCTCCATACTCCGCATCTTGAGTTCTTTTCTCTGCTCCTTGGGACAGTCCCCGACCCCGAGTGACAACATTACGTACAAAACTGCTCCACACATTGCAGAATGAGCATCTGTTCCTCATCCTCAAGGGTGTCAAGTTGAGAGGCCTGGAGGGAGGGAGAGAGGAAGGGACAGGGAAGTCAACACCCCCTGCTATCGGGCACGCCCTCCTCCCCCATTCTCACCTCTTCTCTCAGCTGATGATTCTCCTCTTCCAGCAGCCTCAGCTTCTCCTGCAAGGCTTCCAGCTGTGGGCAGTGGTGCTGGTGCAGCAATGTCTCCGCGAAATCCTAGGGGAAGGAGGAATGGGAGTCAGGGTGCAGAGAGTGGGGCTTCCCAGTTCCCAGCCCACCCAGGCCCTCCCCACCAGGGCTAAGAGCGGTGTTCTCAACTAGTTCCAGGAACCCTGCTGGCAAGCACATCACCTGTGTCCCTCTTAACAAATGAGGAAATTGAGGCTCAGCGAAACGACTCGCAGGTGCAAAGGCAGGAACTCACAGCTTGGGGGCATCACAGGGATGAGCACGCTGCTGGTCTTCCTCTGCCTCCTCCTCTTCCTCCTCATCCGAATCTGAGTAGAGCTGGAGGAGGTCATCTCGCAAGTTCACCTGGTGTCTGAGGTGTAAAATCTGGCAGGAAGAGAGAGGAGCCACAGGCTGGGAGTGGGTAGGGGCAGGAGAGGGTCCTGGCATGAGGTGGGTGTAGACTGGCCCCCTATCCTCTCCTCCCCACCCAGTTACCTCCTCCTTGGCTGAGCCCAGCAGGGCTTGCTGTTCTCCTCCATCAAAACACTGTTCTGTTTCACCAGGGACTGGCCGATGCGAGCTGCAGTGTTCAGGTCCCTCTCTCTGCAGAAGGACCATCACCCATAGGTAATGCTCTCCCAGTGTCTGGGATCTCCCAGACAGGTGGGAGAAGCTGGTGGGGGCGGACACAGGGGTCAGAGGGAGGCTAGGCCCCTAAGAGAACCCTCCCCATCCCCTAGTTCACTAGGATACTAGACCAGAGTCTGCCATTAACCCACTGTGGAACCTGACTCAGTTTCCCCTCATGGAAAAAGAAGATCAGACCAGATTGGCTCTGAGAGCTCTTCCAGCCTGAACATCCCACATCGACCTGTCTTCCATAAGAAGGACCCTTACCTGGGCCCCCAGAGAGACTACCAATCAGGAAATAAACAAGACCCCCACCCCTACAGGACAGAATTAGAATAAGGGCCTGCCTGAATCAGGAAGGCAGTACACACCTCCTCCAGCAAATATAACATCACTTTGACGTCTTCCTGGGTAATCTTTTTTTTTTTTTTTTTTTTTGAGACGGAGTCTTGCTCTGTCACCCAGGCTGGAGTGCAGTGGCCGGATCTCAGCTCACTGCAAGCTCCTCCTCTCGGGTTCACGCCATTCTCCTGCCTCAGCCTCCCCAGTAGCTGGGACTACAGGCACCCGCCACTTCGCCCGGCTAGTTTTTTGTATTTTTTAGTAGAGACGGGGTTTCACCGTGTTAGCCAGGATGGTTTCGATCTCCTGACCTCATGATCCGCCCGTCTTGGCCTCCCAAAGTGCTGGGATTACAGGCTTGAGCCACCGCGCCCGGCCCTGGGTAATCTTTTTGACTGGCGGATGTAGGTTAGGACACAGTGCTGCAGGAGGAGGCAGGTGGGGAGAAAAGGCCCAGCCAGGTCAGCAAAAAGGAGCAGATGCTACCAGCAACCAGCTGTTTCCCATCCTATACTCAGTTCTCCAACAAGCGTCATCAGGAGAGAAGAATGGGCTCCCCTCCTGCCCCCAACATCCTTCCCTTCACCCTCGGCACTCAACACTCCTTTCCCTGCTCCCAGGGCCAAGTGGACTGGGTTTTGGGGGTTTTTTTTGTTTTGTTTTTATGAGACAAAGTCTTGCTCTTACCCCCCAGGTTGGAGTGCAATGGCGTGATCTCGGCTCATTGCAACCTCTGCCTCCCAGATTCAAGCAATTCTCCTGCTTCAGCCTCCCGAGTACCTGGGGTTATACACGCCCGCTTTCTTGTTCCTCTTCTGCCTCGTGGCGGGTGTGTATAACCCCAGCCACCACGCCCAGTTTATTTTTGTATTTTTAGTAGAGACAGGGTTTCACTATGTTGGCCAGGTTGGTCTCGAACTCCTGACCTCATGATCCGCCCCCCTCGTCCTCCCAAAGTGCTGGCTGGGATTACAGGCGTGAGACCACGCGCCCAGCTTTTTTTTTTTAAACCCCTGGAGAAGCCTGAAGTGAGTGAGTCACAGTCCTCCAGGCTCAGAAACTGGGCTCTCCAGACACCTGGGTCCCTGGCGCCTTGGAGAATGGAGCCAGCCAGGAGAAGTATAGCCTCAGACTGGCTCATCACCCCCTACCCAGAAGGCAGTGCAACGGAGTCTCCTGGGTCAAACAGACGCAGCCACTTACCCTGCACCTGTTGCGTGTGCAGAGGACAGGAGGAAGACTTCACCAGATTAGGGGACACTCGAGCCTCTAGGCCCAATCCAGGGATCTCCCGGGACCCGCAGGAGGAGAGAAGGAGAGAAGGTGCGGGGAGAAGAGCGCGACCTTGCCCCCATACCCGCAACCAAAAAGTGGGCAGAACACCCCCCTCCGCGCACCCGCCCCTCCATCGCACGCAAGCCCGGTCGGCCAGCGCGGGCAGCGCCCTCCCGCAGCCCCCCGCCCCTCTCCTGGCACTGCGGTAGATCCAGGAGAGGGGCGCTGAGGAGGAGCAGATCTGCCGCAGCAAGAGGCGCGTAGAGGCGGGTGGACTAGCGCGCAGGCCCCAGGACCTGACTCACCGGCACAAACCAGGGGACAAAAGCGGAGGAGGAGATGGGGAAGGGGTGACCAGACAGATGCCGCAGTGACATCGCGGGGGTGGTGGACGAGTGACACTGAATGCCAGAGGGGGCGGGGCGCCTGGACCCGATGGGGCCACTTCCTCCCTGGAGGTGCCCCAGTCCCCACGCCGTCCAGGACCCCGGGGGCCGGGTTTACCTTCCTCCAGCTCCCGAATAAAGGCAGCGCGCTCAGGGCCGGACACCCCGGGTCGCCGGCCAAAGTAGGCGGCTGGTGTCTTCCAGATGTCCGCTGCCTTTCCAGTCCCCAGGCCAGTGGCCCGGGAACCAAACGGCCCTTGGAATACCAAGCGGGCCCACGGCGCGTCCGAATTGTTGGGCACAGACCGGACATCCCCTTGGATGGCCGAGAATGCAGACGGGCGCCAGGCTCCTGCCTTGACTCCAGCCTCGGAGGCCGGGCGAGCTCCAGTGCCGGCTTCCGAGAGGACTTGGGATCCAGAGGCAGCTCGGGATCCTGCTCTCTGTCCAGTGCCCAGTGCCTGCGGCTGCGCAGAGGGCTCCAGAGCGGGACTGGCTGAGGGCGAGGGTGCACAGGTGAGTGCTGCTGGGTCTCCGGGTCCGGGTCCGGGTCCGAGTCCGAGTCCGGGTCCGGGTCCGGGTCCGGGTCCGGGTCCCGGCCGACTCCCAGCGCAACCCCTCCCGGACACCTTCGGGCGCATCTTGAGTCCGCTGTCAGCTGCAGCGGCGGGACCTTTATAACCTGCGCCAGCCGCCGGACCGGACCACGCGTAGGGGTGGGGGCTGCCGAGAAGCAACTAGTGGCAAGCGGGACTCAGAGCCGCGCGGGAGAGGAGCTAGTGGTAACGGAACAGAGCACAGTAAGAAAAGGAGGGCAAGAAGGGCGAGTGCAGGTTCCGGATGGCTCCGAGTTGGGATGGGAGCGAAAGACTTCTTCTCCCCTCTCCATCTCCGGAGAATGGTTCTGCCCAAAGCCGCGGTTGCCCCCGGACTCGCGGGACCCCGGCTGGGGGCGGTCCCTCCCCTGCTCCCGCGCCAGGGTTTCGGGTGCTTCCCTGGTGTAGAAGCTGCCAACCCAACGTTGTGCATACGGTCTGGGGTGGCCAGCGCATTAGGGCAGTGCTGCGTCTTTCCCGGTTGACTGGGAGAGACATTCCAAGCTCCAGTGCGCTTCCAACGTGCTGCCCCGCCTGGCTCTGCAACCCTGACCCTTGAGTTCACACCCCAGTGCTCGCGCCACTCTACATCTTCCATTTGATTGGATTAACTAGTTCTTCACCTCCAACCCTAATTCGCTTTGCCCTCCTCTTGCCATCCTGGCGAACCCCTGTTCTCCTTGGGAGACGCCGCTTAAAAGTCTCCCTGTACCCAGGCGCAGTGACTCATGCCTGTAATCCCAGCACTTTGGGAGGCCGGGGCAGGCGGATCACCTGAGGTCAGGAGTTCCAGACAAGCCTAGCCACATGGCGAAACCCTGTCTTTACTAAAAATACAAAAATTAGCCGGGCATGATGGCGTGCGCCTGTAGTCCCAGCTACTCAAGAGCCTGAGGCAGGAGAATTGCTTGAACCTGGGAGGTAGAGGTTGCAGTGAACCGAGATCGTGCCAATGCACTCCAGCTGGGGCTACAGAGCAAGACTCCCCCCTCAAAATAAATAAATAAATAAATAAATAAATAAATAAATAAAATTAAAAACATTTTAAAGTATCCTACTGGAAATGTTGGGTAGACAATTAGATGTATAATCCTGAGTGTAGGGGAGAGACCGGACTGGAGATTTAAATGTAGGAGTCATTGCTCTTTGATGGCCATTTAAGGCTGAGACTGGGTGAGATCCCCCAAGAGACTGAGAGAAGACAGATAAGAGCGTCCAGGATTAACCCCCCTAGGATTCAGAGGGCAGAAAGAGGAGGAGGAGGCATCAAAAAGAAGACTGGGATGAGTGGGGCAGTGAAGTAGAGGAAAACCAGGAAAGTTGGGTCCTAGAAAGTAAAGAAAATGTTTCACGTGGAGAGTGGCCACCAGTGTTGGGTGGTGCTGCTGGTCAAAGACTGAGGATAGAGACTCGGCTTGGCAAACCTGGGTCATGGCAAGACCCTTGGCAAGAGCGGTCTTGTGGGGCCAGGCACAGTGGCTTACACCTGTAATCCTAGCACTTTGGGAAGCCTAGGCGGGTGGGTTGCCTGAGGTCAGGAGTTCGATACCAGCCTGACCAACATAGTGAAACTCCATCTCTACTAAAAATACAAAAAGCTAGCTGAGCATGGTGGTGGGTGCCTGTAATCCCAGGTACTTGGGAGGCTGAGGCAGGAGAATCGCTTGAACCCGGGAGGCAGAGGTTGCAGTGAGCCGAGATTTCGCCATTGCATTCCAGCCTGGGCAACAAGAGCGAAACTCTGTCTCAAAAAAAAAAAAAAATTTGCTGGGCATGGTGGTGCATACCTGTACTACTTAAGGGGCTGAGGTGGGAGGATCACCTGAGCACAGTTCGAGGCTGCACTCCAGCCTGGGTGACAGAGCAAGACCCTGTCAGAAGGAAGGAAGGAAAGGAGGGAGGGAGGGAGGGAGGGAGTATAGAAAACTGTATTGAAGAAATCTGCAAGAAAGGAGGGCTGGAAGAGGGCACAGGAGCTGAAGGAGGATGTGAACGCTGGGGAGTGTGTTTTGAAGATGGGAGAGAGGACAGTATGTTTACATGCTGATGGAAATGTTCCCTCAGGGAGGAGAAAGCAGGTATAGAAAAGACAGCCCATCTCCCAGAATAATTCTGGAAATGGAAGAACTTTCATAGGCTAACCCATTCTTCTCGCGTCTGTCAAAGTCTGATGTTGTTTCTTTCTTTTTTGTTTTTTTTTTTTTTTTTTTTTTCCGAGACGGAATTTTCACTCTTGGTTGCCCACGGCTGGAGTGCAATGGCACAATTCTCGAATCACTGCATCCTCCACCTCCGCGGTTCAAGCGATTTCTCCTGCCTCAGCACCTCCCGAGTAAGCCTGGGGATTTACAGGCATGCCCACCACCACCCCAGGCGTAGATTTTGTATTTTTGTAGAGACGGCTTGGTTTCTCCATGTTGGTCAGGCTGGTCTCGAACTCCCGACTTCAGGTGATCTGCTCCACCTTGGTCTCCCAAAGTGCTGGGATTACAGGCGTGAGCCACCGCGCCCAGCCCAAAGTCTGCATGTTTTCTGTGGTTTCTTTGTCAGCAGAAAGCTTGAAGGAGACACAACCCCAGGGTTTGCTGCGACAGTGAGGTTGAAGAACATGAGGAGGTGGCATCAGCACAGCCCAGGCTTCCATGAGACTGCAGCTCCATAGGCTCTGCTGAGTGGTCCTCCCACAGCCCAGCTTCCTGGCCTGTCTCTCTGTGCCTTGGACATCTCTGCAGCCCCAACCACCAAGCACAGAACAGGGCATACAGAAGAAGTCTATTACACTCCTGCTGAATTAAATTGTTTCTGATCCATGAGGAAGAAGCCCTGGGAACCCCCTGGAGAGTTTGAGGGGGAAGAAGGCAGTTTGAGTGGGATGGAGAAGACAAAGATGAAGTTGGGAGACCCTGAAAGCTCCCCCAGCTGACCACACCCTCTAGGTCAGCGCACTGGCAGCCAGCAACTCTGGCTACGGCCACCAGAGGGCAGTGCCAGCCCGCATACCTCCCCACGTGGCTTCCTCACCTACAGGCTCAGTCGCCCCACAGCAGGTGGAGTAGGGATGGTGACTCCATTTTACAGATGGAGAAACCAGGGCTCAGGGCCCCGTCATTCTGGAAGTAAGCATTTTGGCCTGGCTACCCTTTGCACGGCCTAGGGCTGTCCGGGAGACCCGGGGCGGTCTCTGATCCAGGCCTCTCAAGTGGTTTTCCTCTGTCCACTGCCCCCTCCCTTTCCTGCTTCTGGTCTGGGGGAGAAATCAGACACAGCAGAGACCCTCGGCCTCCTGCCCTCCATCCCAGTGTGCACCCACGGACCCTCCTGGACCCAAAAGAGGACGGGAGGGTGCAGAAGACGCCAGGCTGCAAAGTCAGACCACCCACCATCTAATTGTGCACATCCCCCTGAACTTGGGCACATTCACTCCAGTGCCCAGCCCTGGGCAGCATACAGGTGGTTCAGGCCCCTCTTCCTGACCCCTCCCCTGGCCTGACCCTGGAAAAAAATCACCTGGAACAGGGTAGGTCATAGAAAGAGCCCCTAAAGGTCGGTGCCAGGGACCTGGGTGGGGGCAGGCACCAGGGTTACTTTTTGCAGGGGAGCAGGGTGGACAGGCACCCTGAACTAGGGACAGGGGAGACCTCCTCACCCCTGCCGCAGTCCTGCTGTCTCCTACAGGCCTTGTGGGGGCCCTCCCCGATCTCCTGCAGTGGTCTCTGATCCAGGCCTTCCCCTCCAGAACCAGGCAATGGCTGCCATAGCCCTCACCCCCCCGCAGCACCCAGGCACAGTCCCTCCTCACATCAGCAGAGAATGGGGGGCTTGAGGGCCCAAGCCCCTCCACATCCCCAGGGGTTCCCCTTTAACTGTTCTTTTTTTTTTTTTTTTTTTTTGAGACCGAGTCTGGCTCTGTGGCCCAGGCTGGAGTGCAGTGGCGCGATCTCAGCTCACTGCAAGCTCCAGCTCCCGGGTTCACGCCATTTTCCTGTCTCAGCCTCCCGAGTAGCTGGGACTATAGGCGCCTGCCACCACGCCCGGCTAATTTTTTGTATTTTTAGTAGAGATGGGGTTTCACCTTGTTAGCCAGGATGGTCTCGATCTCCTGACCTCATGATCCGCCCATCTCGGCCTCCCAAAGTGCTGGGATTACAGGCTTGAGCCACCGCGCCCGGCCCCCTTTAACTGTTCTTTTTGTTTTTTTGAGAAGGAGTCTCACTCTGTCGCCCAGGCTGGAGTTCAGTGGCATGATCTCGGCTCACTGCAGCCTCCACCTCCTAGGTTCAAGTGATTCTCCTGCTTCCGCCTCCTGAGTAGCTGGGACTACAGGCGCCCGCCACCACGCCCATCTAATTTTTGTATTTTTAGTAGAGACGTGGTTTCACCATGTTGGCCAGAATGGTCTCAATCTCTTGACCTCATAATCTACCCGCCTTGGCCTCCCAAAGTGCTGGGATTACAGGCGTGAGCCACCGCGCCTGGCCAGTTTTTTTGTATTTTTAGTAGAGACAGGGTTTCACCATTTTGCTCAGGCTAGTCTCAAACTCCTGACCTCAAGTGATCTACCTAGTCTCGGCCTCCCAAAGTGCTGGGATTACAGGCGTGAGCCAGCATGCC